AGCCCACTTTTATTATGCCGAGCCAGGCGGGTATAGGTTGGTTTTCATTTCCATTACTTTCTAACAGCATGGGGTAATCGTGCTGACTCGGGTTCAGTCGGACCTGCTTCCGCCAAGGGACGAGCGGAGCCAAGCTCCTCTTCAACAAAACTGACTCAGGGAAAGTCCTTACACTCAGCATTCACTCTATCTGTTATTTCATTGCAGGCAGATTTGAAAATAGTGTCAGTCACTTGGTGTTCTGATGATGGGCTAAAGTAACGACTAGCACTAAGGCCTCCATGTTGCAAGCTAGTGACACCACACTATGAGTAATGTGAAACTTCTCAACAGCTCGCACCGCCCCCACGTCTGGGCTCAGCAGGAGAGACTGCAAAACACCTTACATCACCCTGGATGTCACGATAAATGTCACACCTCTAATACCAAGATGCTGATATCTGTGTAAAGAACACAAGGGCGACATTATACTGCCTTTATAGTTCAGTGTAAACAGGCAAAGCCATAAAAAAGAAGGGCTAGCTTAATTCTAAAGAGGCTTTAGTGAGAAGTTGATTGAGAAAACTGGAGAATAATATTTTTGTGAATCTCTTTAAAGAGTTTCTCGAAGGGATGATTAGTGAATATAGTTCCTCTGGTACCTCCTCAGTGGGTATTCTATTTCCTTCATTTCTACTCTCTACTCGAACCCTTTTCCTCAGGCTAGAGTATGTTCATCTCTCTCTCACTTGTGTTGCTGTTGTGCCTTGTTTAAATAAGGGCTGTGCAGCTTTCTCCTCCAAGCCCTCATTCCATCTCATCTGTCTTATCAAGTCATCCCAGGCTGTCAAATGCACTCTGAATATCAAACTGCATCCACTGAACTGCAGCACTTGCCACAGCTTTCATTATAAAGCAACACTGTCATTGGCAGAACCACAGTTCATTCATACCTGTACATTATGTTTTTGTGACCACTGTCCTTCCATGTTACTCCTACTTCACTTTATTTGTAGAATTTAAGAACATAATTAATAAATTAATGCCACCATTATTCATGTTAATCCCTTTATAATACATATATTGTATGTACTGTATCTATTGTATTTCAGATTTCATTTTGCAGTGGTTTAGCCCCAGTGGGACTATGAATTTTCCAAAATTAAAAAGATCATTGTAAAGAGAAAAACCTACTCTGTCTAATGCATTCTCTTAGTGTAGGTCAACTTTAAGAACAAATTGTGTAATTTGATTTATATTTAATTGATATGTGCTATTTGAGTAAATAAAATACTGTTATTTTAACCATGTTTGCATGATATGTACCTCACCAGGCCTGTGATAGTGGAGATCCCTCACTTTGGCTCAATGCGGGGCCAGGAGAGAGAGCTGATCCTGCTTCGCAGCGAAAATGGAGAAAACTGGAAGGAGCATCTGTACGACTGCAAGACTGACGACCTCAGTCAGCTCCTCAATGGGATGGATGAAGGTAAGGCCAAATGTTTGACTTTTGTCTTTAATTATTTGATAATAATTTAGCTTATACTGGCACCAATGCAAGTTTAAATAATGAAAGTCTTAAATGATTAATGGATTTAAAATAATAAATGCCTGTATGGGTTTTTAATGGCCTTATGTGTAGATCTTTCTGACTGTATGATATTTTAAATTAGTTTGTTTGCAGAGAATTTCAAATCTGTATTTATTGGTGCAGTCAATGTACCATAGTGCTTTCAGCCCTTTATTGACATTATTCCTGCGATCTGGGAGGTGGAGCATAACCACACCATGATCATACGGTTATGCTCAAAGCATTGGCCATGATGTACGCCAGCTGTGGCGTCAACACAGAGCCAGACCCGTTTATACTATCGCTTGAGGCGCGCTTGACTTGCTGCAGTCTTCTCTTAAACGTTAGGTGTCGCTGCTGAGCACTATACTGCTGGAGCAGAACCACTGTCAGAGGAGGAAGAAATCTACAGGAAATAGTTTCATAGCTAGTTCAGAATCAGAATCTGCTTTATTTAGTTAGCCGGTAAAATGGCGAACCTAAAAATTAGCTCAATGAGTCCAGACTGATGCATCACAAATGGTCAAAGGTCAAAGTGTGTATTTGTCATATGCACAGTTAGGAAAACGTGTTTCCCTGTACAATGAAATTCTTACTTTGCCGTCCACATGAATGCCACAAAATACAAATGAAATATAAAGTAGATGAATAAGTAACACAAAATTTAAGGCAACTCAACCTGTGAATAGTGAATAAACAGACATTTCAGTACATGAATTAAGATGACATTATTGTTAAGAGAGTAAAGAAAGCAAATTATGTCCTTATTCAGGGCTGGTGCTAGTAGTGCTGTAAACTTTATGTAGGTTCGGAAACTGAATGATTTATAATTTACATGTAATTGATGTCAACCGTGTACTTTCCCATCCTCTAGAGCTGGACAGTCCTGAGGAACTGGAGAAGAAGAGGATCTGCCGCATCATCACCAAGGACTTCCCACAGTACTTTGCAGTAGTGTCTAGGATCAGACAGGAGACCAATCACATGGGACCAGAGGGCGGGACACTACGCAGCCAGAACATCCCATTGGTTCAGGCTTCATTTCCTGAGGGGGCATTAACCAAGAAGATCAAAGTTGGACTGCAGGTTGAGCTGGAGGATATCAGTGTCTGCTATTTCAGATTCTTTCTTTTAGATACTACTACTAATAGGCTATTAGCATTAACTTTAGTGGCAGTAGTGGTTAGTATTTGTAGTGGTAGGCCTATTAGCCTTATTATAAGTAATGATAACAGTGGTCATGGTATTGTATTAGTAGCACTAGTATTAGCAGTAGTAATTAGTAGTTGTGGTGGCATTAGAATGTTTTGCTTTAGCATTATTAGCAAAAGCAATAGTAGCAGAACTACTTGAAACCTTACTATTATTATTAGTAGCAGTATTTACAGTTTAGAAGGCTTAGTAGCAGAAGTAATTGTAAAAGAGTAAAAGTTTAGTAGTAGTAGTGGTACTGCAGTAGTGGTAGCATTCATACCAAAAGTAACAGTTGTGTTACCAGTAGTTTCAGTATAGAAGTTACAATAGTAGTGAAGTAGTAGTGATAGTAGCTTTACTAGGATGAGCTGTAATACCGTAAGCCATTTTCTGATGTTTCAGAAGTATTATAACGAATAGTAGCAGTAGAGTTAGCAATTTACTTTGATTTGTACACAGGTACACAAAGTGGCATGTATCACTCATTCACCACTGCCTCTTTTCTTCTAGGCGCAGCCTGTACCTGAGGAGTCTGTGAAGAAAATCCTTGGTAACCGAGCAACCTTCAGCCCCATCGTTACCGTGGAGCCCCGGAGACGGAAGTTCCACAAGCCCATCACCATGACAATCCCAGTCCCGCCCCTCTCAGGGGAGGAGCTTACCAACGGCTACAAAGGAGACTGTACTCCCTGTCTTCGCCTTCTCTGTAGTATTACAGGTAGAACTGTGTGGATGTGTGTGTCAGTACCTTTTTACAAACATGTTTGAATTTTTCACCTTGAGAGTGAGAACATTTTTGGTAGATGAGCTCATCCAGTCCAAATGAAATTCAGTATATGCCAATTTTTTTTGGTCTACTTCAACATACATATATCTGCACTGTACTTTGTTATCCATTGAGACAAAAAATATCAGACCCAAAAATATTTATTCCAAGCAGACTATTTTTACGGCTTACTATACTGTACTGTATGTCTGTAGTGAACCTTTAATAGAAACATTTCTTAACATCAATCGTTAGTCGTTCTAGTTTTACACAGTCTGAAGAAACAACAAATCTTTGCCCAATTTATTTTTATTCAGTCTATAACTAGAATAACTCCTCCAAAGAAAATATATCATGTGTGTCTCTTCTAAGATGTTACTTCCTGTACATTAGGTGTAGATGAACTAATCACATTAAAAGAAAATCTTCAGGATGTTTTATGTTTCCTGTATGACTGTCTACCAGGTGGTACATCGCCAGCACAGTGGGAAGACATCACAGGCACAACTCCGCTCACCTTTGTCAATGACTGTGTCTCTTTCACCACCAACGTTTCTGCCAGGTGACACATGTGCATGTAACAGTGCTTGTTCTGAGTCGGCACAATATACATTAATAATCTGCCACTTTTTGGGAAGAGGTAAGAGTTTGTTGTATTTATCTGTGGTTCTGAATTGTTCGTCATATTATTTGTCTCTTATGTAGATTTTGGTTAGCAGACTGCCACCAGATTCCAGAGACTGTGGGCTTGGCCACGCAGTTGTACAGGGAGCTGATCTGTGTGCCCTACATGGCCAAGTTTGTGGTGTTTGCTAAGATGAATGACCCAGTGGAGTCCAGATTGAGGTGCTTCTGCATGACAGATGACAAGGTGGATAAGACCCTGGAGCAGCAGGAGAACTTTGAGGAAGTGGCCAGGAGCAAAGATATAGAGGTACATAAACTATCAATATCTATTCCGTTGCTGATATAATCAAAGTTGAAGGGATTTTGAAGTATAATTCAGAATAAATTCTAATCAAGCCCCGTTTTATGACAGTAATAGTTTCTCAGTATTTTTTCTTTTAAAATTGCATGCAATTTGTTATTTTTATTTTTGTGATAATCAAGGAAAGCTTGCAGGACAATGTGAAGCAACTTTGATGCAGTAATTAATGGTGTCTTTATGACATATAGAAACAGCAACAATTGGCATTTCTTTTGTTTTTGCTAGTATAAAGCTTTATTTCTTTCTATGATTCATTATCAACTATTAACTGTTACATTTGGTTATAGTTTTGACTTGTCTGATAGCATTTTACTACCTTTAGTCAGTTTCGGGCTCCATACTGGCAGTCAACAGTCAATAATACACAATTAAAAGTGCCAAAGAATGGGGGAGCATTCATATGGAAGCTCAGTATACGAGTTAAATTATATTTATCCATTATTTAGCATATTGTTACTTTTGTCAGGAAAACTAAAAATGTTGATTTGGAAAGTTGCATTTTGTTGTCAGTTATAAATGTTATTCATACCTTGTTGGTGTGCTCGCTCAGGTTTTGGAGGGCAGGGCCATCTATGTGGATTGCTATGGAAACTTGACTCCTCTTATTAAAGCTGGTCAGCAGTTGGTTCTTAACTTCTACGCCTTCAAGGAGAACCGTCTGCCCTTTTGTGTCAAGGTACTCTAATTTAGACTCCATCATCTACAATGTCTCCTTCTCAAGGTGGAGCCGCAAGATCTATAAATCAACGTGACAGACACTATGATTGTTATTACAAAGTAAGACAAGACAGAATTCTGCACAGAAGCAGCAGCCAGTATAATTTTGTTGCTGATATAATTTTATGTTAAGTTGTGATTGCT